TATTAGTGGCAAAAATGGTATATTCAACTTCCTGTCGGGTAAGTTATAATAATCGAAAAAATTCGAAAATGAAAATTTTTTATATCTTTAAAATCGATGCATGTTTGTATGTATGTGTATATATGTTGTTTGTATGTATGTGTATGTATGTGCAGATACAATTTTTTGTCGACGATGTCGGAAGCACGCATCGGTTTGAATGATTCAAAAAACTTTCGATTTCTATTGACAGAGAAAACTGCTAATTAGATTTTGGACAAAGAGATTTCATTATACAAAGTATTAATATTTTCGAAAATGAAACCACTTTTCGTAGATCCAAAATTTTTTTTTGAGTATTAATTTTATTAAAATTTGAAAGATGGAATTTTCTGGCAAATACAAAATTTTAAGTTAAATATAATGAATACCAAATTATTAAGACAGTATTGAAATATACTACTGTTTTGATAAGATTTTAATCACTTGATATTTAAAATTAAGGTGTGTTTTAGGGTTATAATGTCTTAAACAACTAGTGTATATAAATCGTACTACTTTTTAGAGAACGTTTTTTTTTCAATATTATAGTATTTATTAACCCCTAAAAACTGCAACAGATGGTAGATCTATAGGAATTTTAAATATCTTAAAATCTTTTAGTGCAAGCAATTAAATGAAAGTTTACTACGGTGCATATAAAAGGATTAATGGAGATCTAAATTCAGTACGTTTGAAATAAAAGTGTTTATATTTTATTATGTCTAGATAGCTATTACCGTCGCTAATGGCCTCATGTCAAACACGACGTAAACATAAAACTGTTCCTTTATCGACTTATAACAGTCACATAAACCTAATTGCAAACACTAAATAACTATTAAAGGTTTTATTATTAAATAACGCGTGAATAGCTTTCCTTGACACATTTGACATTATTAAAAGAAAAAGCTAGTGGGGTGCATGGCATCGTTAAAAATTAAAAATCTTGGTACGGAACCCAAAAAAATATACACAAAATATGTACACATTATTAATATCTCTATAAAATATCTGATATTTTAATGTACATATGTCCAATAAACATTTTTGATTGCCAAATGGCATTTTTTTGAACTTATTTTTATTGAGAGTATATATAATCGATGGACCTACCTTTTCAAAAATTTAATCAGTTCTTGTCAATACATCCCATTTTGCGATGGCGCGTGTTTTGTGCGCAATTAATAGTATTAATTTGTGTTTAATCAAATGTTTTAACTAAATCTACATAATTAGAATTAATTTGGCGTTCCCAGAATATGTGACCAAAATTTGAGTATTATTTAATAATGTGTAAACAGCTGCCTTTGACATAAGATAACCGAATTGCTAAATCTATAAAAAGCAGCGCGAAAAATATGGATATGGTTTCATCGAGTCTTGGAACTAATAGTTATAGGTAAGTAAGTTTTGAATATAAGAATAATTAATATTAGAATATAATATAATATATTATTTTATATATAGTCTTTTTTAGAAAATAGTTTCCATAATAAATTATATTACAATTTACCTTAATTTTTTGTGTCTATTTTGTTTGTAATAATTATATGCTTTATTAAAGGGTTTATATTTTGTTTACTAAATCTTCATTGTCTAAAAACTTATGTTAGTTTGATTTTCGAATTTACTTTTAAAGATAAATTATTACAATTGAACTCTAATAAAATAAGCTTGTTTGCAAATTTCAATACAAAAAATTGTCGAAATTTTTAATTTTATACGTTTTTTGATAAGGCAGAAATTGTTTTTTATATGATTTTATATAAAGTTGACTTGAGATTTATATTATGATTCTAATACCGAAAACTAATAACAATCTTTTATGTAAAAAAATCCTGTTAATGTTACTATATAAAATTATATGTTTTGTTATTATAATAACATTTTCCTTTATATATTCGTAGTAAATTGAAACTATGTAAGTATGAGAAGAAATTAAAATTTATTATGCTTGGTTTAAGTTTAATATGAAAATCCATTGTGATTGATATTTTTACGTACAATACTAGCTTAAATCTTGTATTTCCAGATATCAATCATGAAGTGTTTTATTGCCATTAGTGCACTTGCACTTCTTGCAAACGGTGCTTTTGCCAACGTTTGCGATGGACAGGCCGATGGCACATACCTCAGAGACCCTGAAGATTGTTCCAGATTTTACTTTTGTGATGAAGGCCGTGGTGTAAGTACCAAATGCGCCGGCGATTTATTATGGAACACTAACATCAACATTTGCGACTACCCTGACAACGTTGACTGTGGTGATAGACCATCACCAACTGAGGCACCAGAATACCCATCCACTACTGATTCTACAACACATATTCCTGATGAGACTACAGTCGGCTGGACTGATCTAACTAGTGAACATCCTGAAGTGGACACAACAACACGTGAAGCTGGATTCCCAACAGAAATTCCAAATGGAACAGAAGGAAACTCAAACAATGATCGTTGCAAAGGTCTTCCAGATAACACATATTTACCTGACTCCACAAACTGCAAAAAGTTCTACCAATGTGACTACGAAACCGCAATAAGCCAAATTTGTCCAGCTGATTTATTATTCAATCACGATTTGAATGTATGTGATTATGCTTACAATGTTAGATGTGGTGATAGACCACATAGTTCATCCGACCCTGAAGAATCATCAGACGCAGGCCTTGAGCCAGTTGAACCTGAAGATCCTTCTGATACTGAAATCGTCGAACCTGAAGAAACAGTGGAACCAGAAGAAGCAGTAGAACCAGAAGAACCATCTGAACCATCAGGATCATCAGAACATACTGAGCCTTCTCAAAACACTGAATCATCATCAGGATCTGAAGAATCTGAAGAATCTTCAGGATCTTCAGAAAATACTGAACCTGCCAAGAATACTGAATCAGGATCTGAATCTGATGAATTGGAATCATCTGAAGAATCTTCAGGAGAACGTGGTGATTTGGATGAATGGTTAATCCAGGAATTGACACACAATGGAATGAAGTATCTACACAAATGGTTGAAAGTTCATGGAAAGCATATCCATCATAAACGACTTCATTATTTGATCAAAAAGTACGGTAAACACCACTAAATTTCATGGTATCTGAGCTGTTTATGTATGTAGTTTTAAAGTCAATTATGCAAAATTGTTATTTATAAATATTTTATTATTATTAATCTTTTGAATATATTTTGTTGTATTATTCATACGATTTGCTTGAAATAAATTTAGCAGTATTAATACATCATTCTTTAAGTAACAGAATGTCACGTAAGTAGAATTTAAAATCGTTTTTGTCGAGTTCCTCTTAGGAATGAGCAATGGCATAACTTTTAACAACTGGGCCCAAGTTTAAATTGAACGGTTTTCTTAAATCCTTTACGCTTCTGTCTTATCCGCTTCTTGTTTTAATGGGAAAAGCATCTTGTTATTTGAAATAGATTCAATCAAAGTTTGAAATTAGAAAGAAAGAACTTTAACGTAGTGCAATGATGGTTTTTGTCATTTTATGTTGAAAATGATATTAGATTCATTATTTTCACATAAAATACTTTAGCTTATTTTTATTTTAATATATGAAAAAAATTAGGCACATTTTCTAAAGAAATGTTTACAACAAAGATTTAAAGTTTTGTACACCAACGCGATATATAGTAAGTATTCTAGTAACTACTAGCAAAATATGAAATAATTTATCTTATTGATAACGGATTAGATAATAATAATGCAATTTTCTTATCTTTGCATGTTGACACGTATGTATGAATTGTTTTGAGCATTAATTCTACAATTAGAAACTGCAATCACATGAATTTGACCTCGATATGTTCTTGAACGAGCTGCAAGTTTAAAGTTCTCGGAAACTGAACATGCTCTATACTAGTTAAACAGGGTTTGCTAATATATAAAGTGATGAATTATTATGTATTTAGAAAATAAATCACTTTTTGTTTGATTTTCATAAGAAATAAGATGTAAAAAAATAGTCTAACTGAACATCCTCATTGGTTAGCAAGGAGTTGTTAGATCAAACGCATGAGAAATGCAACTTCTAGTGATATATTTTAATTTTAACCACAAAAGTCTACTTGTAAAGTCTATTTTCACTTTTTTCTATTTTTATTTTCACTAAATGTAGTTCTTATATTTATTATTTTTTTCTGTATTTTTTTAATGTCTTAGGTAAATATTTAATCAAGCAAATGAACAGTTCAAAACTGAAGATGTAACTAGATAGGTTAAACCTGCATCCAATTCTAATAATTATCAAGTCAAGTATTTAGTGGTACATAGAACGGTTGAATCTTTAATACTCATTATTTACTGGCTTTTATTGACTATCGAATTTAATAACAACAAATAAAATTTAATGATATATGAGTAAATAAGTAAGTAATCATAAATCATAATCATGTCAAAGACCTAGGCGCTTAGCTATACCGTCTACTCTATATTTTAATATCCTATACATATTATAAAAATTTTATATTAAATTAAAAAATAAAGTCAAAATGAGAAAGAAAGAAATTCAACAATTTCTTAGCAAAATACTTGAATACTATTTATCATAAAATTTTAATGGAGGATTTCCAAATGCTTGGTAGTCTACTCACGATATGTAATTTTAAATTCAAAACCTATAACTATAATTCAGTATTAGTAATATCGTTTCATAATTATGGTATTATAAAAATATTACATTGCAATTGTAAACAAATATATATAATAAATTGATCGAAAACATGTATTAGAACGTAAAAAATGTTTTTCGTTGAGTAATTGAAAACTATTTTATAATTACCCAGTAAACAGTAACTACGGTAACAAAAATGTATTCGGATTATTTGTGTATCCTATATTTAGAACCTTTAACGTTTATTTACATATAATTCACATTCATGATGTTGTTAACCAATTGTAAGTTTTTTTTAAATTTATGATTAATATTATAGTATTAGGCTTTATAAATTGTGCTTGAACTCACCCTGTTCTGTGATTAATTCGGATGTTTTGTATTTGGTGGCATGAAGCTTGAATGACCAAGTGCTTGTTAGTAGTGCAAATTGTCCATGATAATAGTGTCGCTGGTGATAATCTAAAAGTGAGTTCATTTAAATTAAATTAGAATTATATATATATATATATATATATATATATATTATATGTATATATATGTAATAATTTGTAAATTAATATTGAAAATCTAGTTTATTATTAACATTCCAGAAAAAAGTGATAAGTTCATTGTTGAATGGTTCGACAAACAAATTTTTCAAAGGCGTTTTTTGTCATAATTTATAATTGTTGAATCTATACTCTGTAACATTTTTGTTTGGTATTTTCTGTCAAAATTATTCGGGCTGATGTAAATCGTCCTAAATAATATTGTCATAGCTATTATCTCGCAGACGGATACAACATATACAGAACTGCGCAGGTCTTTTGTAACAAAATCACAAAATTTCGGCTTGCATTACTGTCGACTAAATTTCAATTTTATATGTCCTAATTTTCTTCAATTTTCTCAATCTGGGATAAAGCGTAACGGTTTTTGTGATTGCTTCATTGTTTAAATATTTATCTTGATCAAATTAAGAATATCACACCTGGCGTTAGTTGTAAGGAAACCTTGGGGCTAATTGTAACATACAAGAATTATATATATTAATTATAGATAATAGTGAAGATGGTTGTGTAATGTATAATTTGTAAGATATGGGCATGTAAATTTTTGAGGCACGTTATCTTTTATTTGATTTAATTGTAGTTTATGTTGATTTATAATAAATATTTCAATAATAGGAGACACTATATAATTTATTTGTGTTAATCATAGTTAACGTAGATTTATGAAAATAATTACTTAGCAACATGTCAATTTTTTTAAAAATTGAGCAAATTATAAATTTATTATCACAGATATTAATGCCGTTTTTTTTGTTGTTACTACTTGCACCGGTAAATGTTACAACTATTACCAAATATGGAGTAAGGTATATCATCGTTTTTATCTAAAAAATAGTTTATTATGAAATAATGAACAATAGTTCCATTAGAAAAGTTAGTTAAGAATAGTTATAGCATCAATTCATTTTTATTTCGTAGAAATTTAATTAGTTAATTTCATGATATATTAATTTCAAGAAAACTGTTACAACAAACCTCTAGCACCCTATCTATTTATGCATATGTATGTATTTGATTATATATGTTTACAAATATATATGACAAAACTATTTAATGAATCATTTTAAAAAGCTCCATAGCTTTCATTAACGATAACATTTTTTAAAAGTTATACCAATACGTTTTTATTTTAAATATATTAGATATAAACATAGTTATAAAAAAGCCTATAATTTTAAGCAAAATAATGTTAAGTAAATCTTTTTATTTGCTCAATATATTATGCCTGTATTCTGTATGAATAGGAAAAAAATTAATTAATAGTTGTTTCTCATCAATTTAAACTAATAATTATTGGCGCCATGAAAAAAGAACTTTTGTAATTCAAAGAACTTAAGGTAATGTCATAGGATAGAGTGGGGCACAAAGGTCCAACTTGATTTTAAGCATTTATACTTAACGTTTATTAATTAAATAACGTACACCTAAATACTATATTAAGATCTTGTAAACTAAACAACAGTACTCACAACCAAAAAAACTAACAAAGAAAGAAAATACTTTTTTAAGGTTTTTTAAACATTGCCATTTATCTTCTGATAGCGATATCGTACGAATCAAGATGGTAGCTTGTTATACATCTTTTTCCCTACTTTCAAATATTGTTGTTAAAAATATCCAAACTTTACTTGATTTTGAGATATTGGTGGTAGATCTATAAGCCACTATATTTGTCTATATATTGTCAATGCAGACCTATTCATTTCCTTCAGATATTCATTATCTCGCAGAACTCGTTAAAGTTTTCTCAGAAACAAACACTTTGTAAGAGAGTTGTAAGAAAATATCTCTCGTCGATGTTTAAATTAGTACAAAAGTACAAAAGTAGCTTTTTTGTGCAAAAAAATATGTCATTAGCAGTAACCTTTTGAGTTTTACAGGTACGAGTGCGGCGGTCGTTAAATGCAAGCAAGCGTCAAATTGACTTTCAGCTTTTCATTTTCCACCGAATGTAAGCGACACCGTTAAGCATAAACATATTATAGGCTTCTCTTCCGACTGCTTTTATTAAATTGTGTTATTTTTAATGAATAAAGTTTTAATATAGCCATTAAAACAAAGCTGATATATTACTTAGCAGCCAGAAGTTTTAGTTCCAGTTCAGGAGGAAAAGATTTATTTATCAATATACAAGGTGATTTAAGACAATGTGAACAAGACAAGGTGATACAAGATTTAAGGCACAGTGGACTTTTGTTAAATAAAGATTTAATATAAGAATGTTATACATGTAGGGTAGAGTGGGGTTTAAAGACCCCAAGGGAAAAACACCACCAATATCTCAAAAACAAGTAAAGTTAGGATTTTTTCAACAACAATATTTGAAAGTAGAGGGCAAAAGATGTGTAACCATCCATATCCTTAAATTAAGCAACGCACCTATATGGAGATAAAGGTTATGTTTGAAAATCTATAACAAAAGTATTTTCTTTCGATAGTTTTTTTGGTTATGAGCACTATTGTTTAGTTTACAAAACCTTAATAATACTTTGGGGGCGTCCATTAACCACATGATGTTTTTAGTTACAAAAAAATCACGAAATATCACGTGCGGGAGGGAGCGGTATAGTAAGATATCACGTGTAATGATTTTTTACTTGAATTTTTTTAAAATCGGGAGGGGGGTATTTTTGAATATCACCACGTATCACCAAGGGAGAGGGGGAGTCCAAAAATCTTTAAAAAGACCATCACGTGATTAATGGACGCCCCATTTTGAGTTTACCTTATTTGATTGCTTCATTAGATGTTTTATTTGTTGATTAATATTTCTGACAAAATACCAAATCAAGGTTATATACAGTGTTATCTCTGTGAAAAATGTGCCTATAAAATTTATATCTTGTATAGGTTAAATATTGTACCTATAATTTCGTAAAATCGCTTCAAAATTAAAAATAAGACATTTGATCTGTTTGCCCTCTGTCTGTCTCATTTTATCCTGCCTATGGGGTGAAAAAGGAGCAGATGACAAATTTGAGAAAAATAGAAAAAAACACATTTAACTGAGAATTTTACATCTAACATAAATATTGCATATCATCTTGTTTACTTACAATTCACACGTATTTTAATTTTTTTTCATTTATTTTAATCAATAAGTCTTAAAGTTCAATAAAGCTATCAGCTAATTGTACTGTATAACGTCAAAAATTTTCCAGTGAAAATCTCCGTTAATAAAGGTTCTTGTAATAAAATATAAAATGGACTTTACAAAAATAACATTATGCAATTTTGAAAACTTTAATAATTTATTTTAATCGTATTTTCTACATTACAAACACCATTCATTCCCTTTTATATAAATCCAGCTACAGGTGCGTTTATCCATTTATAGATTTACATTGCAGGTATATAATAATTCATATGAACAACAGATTAAAACGCTTTTAGCAAGCGTTACATAGCCCGAATAATTATCATCTAGCTATTTTATTCGCAATCGCGAATGTATTCCACATACGTAATATCTGTTTCATAATTTAAATCGTTCGCATAATCGCCCTATAATTAATCAATATGAGGTATTGATTAATATTTCCATCATGTATGGAGTGGAGTACATGAACTAGTAGTGCGTCTCGTTATACCTTAATGGCACCTGGTGGAACTATGCCATTTGTAAACAAATATTATGCGAAGAAATTGTATCCAAACATACATATACACTACAAACAAACACATACACATTAAGAAAGCTTTGAAACAAAACGGAAAATGTTTTCGATTTTTGCGAATAATGCAACTGACCCTACGTGAGGCTAAAAGTTCAAAGAGTGTTACATTAAAATTTCTTATTTCAATTCGTAAGAAGCTGACCTGAGCCAGAGTTCCTTGTTTCGATCTGTGTTTCGAACAGCCTGCTGTCAAGAAGTAGTGACAACGTTTTTTATTTGGAAACATAGATAGCAATAAGTTTCGAAGTGAAAGTAGCTCTGATGCGGCATTGCTGCATCAATAAATATTCGCTCTGTCACAGAAATTGTAATAATATTATAATGCATCCATCACACAGAGATGGGAAAATAATTTGGAATGCCATCTGTAGAAGTGACTAGTATTAAGTCAAATGAGAAAAAGACTTAAGTTCTGATTGCTGCTTAAAATAAAATAAAAAAATTTAACAACCCTAAAGAAGAGTATAGTCCACTAATTTTTGACACAGTTCATAAAATAAATGTCTACTTAGAATAAAATATTTTATGAAATTCGCATGGATCATTAAGTACTTTAAAAAATTCCTGAGATAAAAGCTGATTTGACTGAATACCCAATAAAGAAAATATTGCCGTCGGACATAGAAGATAATATTATCAAAAATCATTTGATATGAAAACTATAATAAAAGGCACGATTCTTAAATTCAGCAAACCACAAGTGTTTTGTTAATACATTGTTTATCAAAATAGATAAGATAAGTAGAAATGATTAATAGAATTACAATCGCTCAGATGTTCAAGTATAGTCAACCATAATAGTATGTTTTTAACTATGTATGATGGAGCTTAAATGATCCGGTTAAAAGCCTTAAAATTCTTGAAAATCTTTTTTTCTCGGACATAAAGAGACTTGTCAAAAATTATTTGACATGGAAATTAAAATAAAAGGCACAATTCTTTAATTCAGCAAACCACAAGTACTTTGTTGGCACATTGTTTATCAAGATATATATGATAAGCAGAAATGATCAATGAAACACACAGGTGTCCAATAAATATAATTTTTAACAAAATTATGATAGATCAAGATTCCTATGATCTCATTCTGTAAGAATGTACCTTAACTGAATAATAACGTCTTCTGTGCATGATAAGAAATTTCACAAAATGTTAGTAAATTTATAAATGGAATGAAAAGAATTAGTTGATCATAAATCAAAAAAAATTGATTACAAATTAGTAACAATGTATTAATGCTAATAATCAAGCTAATGTTTTCAAGAAGCTCAAGAATTTTTTTACATTTCAACTATATAATATGGATCTTATTTTGTTCTACACGAAATAATCGTTTAAAGTTGTTTGTTTTTCTAGTTATGTGCTGAAAAATATTGAATGCAACCTCAGATTGCATTGTAATATAAATTTCTCTGCTTATCTATGAAATTATAAATAAAAGGACGCATTGTCAGTTCGCATTTCATGACAACTAAAAGTATTTATATTTTTTTTTATTGTTTTCAACAGCAATCAGAATTTAAGAGTCCAAATAATTAATACGACATCGGTTTTACAGATATCAATCCAAACAGTTGTCTCATCTCTGTGTGATAATTTTTTTCTATTACAATTTTTGTAATAGGGCGAATATTTTATTTTTCTATATTATTTATCTATATTTTCAAGTAAAAACCGAAGTTACTACTGCTTGACATTAGGTTAATAAAAGAGCCATTAAACCCGGTACCTGAAATTTGCTCTGCCACAGTCGCTCTAGCCACAACCCCGAGTCTCTTTTATAATATAACCGAGATAAAAAAAATGTTATCTAAAATATAATTTGCAAGTACATAATTTGCTTTCATATTCCTAAAAATTGGATGATTCTTGATAAAGAAAATTGAATTAATACTCGTATGAAACTTCGAGACGTATGAAAAATTAAGATTCTGTAAAATATTATTATTACAATATTATCTAAGTAATTATTAAATACCTACATTTGGCATATTTTCAGATTATTTGTCAGTGATCAAATTATACAAAACGCATTACAAATAGTATTGTTTTCATAACACAATCTAAAAGTTTATGCAATCACTTACCTGGATTCGATTTTATAAGAGTGCATTTGCATTGCATTTAATCTTTATTCCGTGGTTTTATTCCGAGTTAAATCTCAACTGTGGACCGGCCGTGGTCCCGTGGTAAGAACGTGGGCTAGCAAATCCTAGTCCCGGGTTCGAATCCAACCTCGGTCGGTTCGGTATCAAAACAGCTTGATACCAAATTTTCACTTGAAATCATAGATTTCAAATATGATTTCAAGTGAAAATGGCCTTTCGTGGGCAAAGCTGTAGTGGCAACACGCCACTTGGAAGTAAAGAGGTACTAAGATGGTATCGCTTTGAAATATAAAAAAAAAAAAAAGGAAGTCGAATTTGTATCCCTATACAACAGAAAAATGTAAAGGCTCTGACATCGTGCAACCATGATTGAGTGCATTTTCAACTCAACCCACGGACCTGCCCTTGTAAGAAATATTCGTAAAGAAAAATGTAATAAACAGTAAAAATATGTAAAGAAAAAGTAAAAATATATGTAGTATGTAAGATAAAAAGAAAAAATAATTAGTAATAAAGTTTTAAAAAAAAAAAAAAAAAACTGAATTTGATCGTATACAATGGCACGGAGTCTGACATGCATAAATCAAAAACCTTTTCAAAACAAATGCATTTGGCTCCACTTCCTCATTGACAATGAATTCATTCATGCGAATCATGGAAAGAAGTCAACCGAAATATTTGAAAGATTGGTGGGAATAGGAGGCAGTAGGTTAGAAAGTTGTTATGCTTATATTTATTTAAACTACAAATCCGAAGTGGTAGAACTTTGTTTTTGCAACCCCAAGATTTCGAGTTTAAATCACGCAGTACAATATAGATTTCCATTTAAATGAATCTACTTTGATTATAAATATGAGCCCATTCCTGTGTGTAAGTAACTAGAGTGACTGGGTTTGAATCAGAGATCTTGGGTTCGTTCCCGCATCCGAAATCGAAGAGCCTGATGTCAAGCGGTGGTGACATCCGTTTTCACTTGAAAATATAGATAGCAATACATTTCCAAGTGAATATAGCCTTGCATTGCTGCATCAATAAATATTCGCCCTAGGATGAAGCAACTCTGAGTTGCCATATGGGTCATTCTTTTACAAACCGGACACTTTTTAACCTTGACATTTTAGAATTGTCTGAAAATTTGTTTACAGATACTATTCATAAAATCATTTGACACGTATTTCAGGATTTTGCTGAAAAAAAATTTTTGACTTAAATATTTACGATTGAAATATGGATTTTTTGCTCAATTTCTATGAACATCATCTGCGGTAAATTAATTATCTCCGGATGTGCTGATCCGATCAGTATTATTTTTTTTTATTACACTCATATTGAAGTGAACTTTGTAATGATTGAAAAATTTTTTTTTTGTTTTTGCAATTTTCTTAACAATAACAACCCTTAAATATTTACAAAGGTTTTACTCGGCCTTTACCCAAATTGAATCGATCCAAAAAAAAACATATATTTTCTTTTTTTCTCTGCAACAAAATTCTTTTTACAATTTGTTGGAGGTTTTGTTACATCGAAAGATATTAAATATTTTCAAGCGCGAGCCGCGCTTTGACGTCGTGGACCTCAAAGACTTGTACTCATTTGTCACTTTCGAATGACAATCGTATTGTTTTTCGGTTGAAAAATATTTTATAATTTCGCTTCTGGCGAAAAATGAACATATAGTCGAAAAAAAACATTAGGGGAGAGCGGAGCTTAAAAGTTCGTGGGTAAAAAGATCCACTGCCAATATCTCAAAAACAAGTAAAGTTAGAAATTTTTTTAACAACAATATTTGAATGTAGACGGATTGTTCAGTTAGATTTTTCTAATAATAAAAAAATGTTTTTCAGCCACTTTTTTTAAATTCGTCATTTTCCGTCTTCACTCCGTAGCCTGGATAAAGAGGGATCGACTTATTTTTAATTTTAATAGAATTTTACGTAATAATAGCTAAATTTTATAGCCAATGTAACATAAAAATTTTATTCGTATATTTTTATAAAGAAAATACCAGATATACATTTGATCTGATGCTTTGTCAGAAATATTTATCAGCAGAGTTAATTAACTATTAATTTATATATAATTATATATATCACTATATCTATTGTAAAATAGCTTCTTTCTAACTCAATTTAATTTTTTATTTACTATTTCCTTATTATTTACACCTAGGCCAGTATGAAGGTGTGGTTGACTCTGTTTACCCCACCTACATGTAAGCTTTAATAGAGATTATATCAGAAAGGGTTGAAGCCAACTTAAATATTCCTCTACATTCAAATATTGTTGTTAAAAAATTTCTAACTTTACTTGTTTTTGAGATATTGGCAGTGGATCTTTTTACCCACGAACTTTTAAGCTCCGCTCTCCCCTAATGTTTTTTTTCGACTATATGTTCATTTTTCGCCAGAAGCGAAATTATAAAATATTTTTCAACCGTAAAACAATACGATTGTCATTCGAAAGTGACAAATGAGTACAAGTCTTTGAGGTCCACGACGTGAAAAGCGCGGCTCGCGCTTGAAAATATTTAATATCTTTCGATGTAACAAAACCTCCAACAAATTGTAAAAAGAATTTTGTTGCAGAGAAAAAAAGAAAATATATGTTTTTTTTTGGATCGATTCAATTCGGGTAAAGGCCGAGTAAAACCTTTGTAAATATTTAAGGGTTGTTATTGTTAAGAAAATTGCAAAAACAAAAAAAATTTTTTCAATCATTACAAAGTTCACTTCAATATGAGTGTAATAAAAAAAAAATAATACTGATCGGATCAGCACATCCGGAGATAATTAATTTACCGCAGATGATGTTCATAGAAATTGAGCAAAAAATCCATATTTCAATCGTAAATATTTAAGTCAAAAATTTTTTTTCAGCAAAATCCTGAAATACGTGTCAAATGATTTTATGAATAGTATCTGTAAACAAATTTTCAGACAATTCTAAAATGTCAAGGTTAAAAAGTGTCCGGTTTGTAAAAGAATGACCCATATGTAAAATCGACAAAGTATTAAGTCAAATCAGCACAGCAGCTTATAGGACTTTTTAGTTGTGTATATTTAACTGCTGTTCAAACAATATTAAAAAAAAACTTATATCAAATATATTTCTAAGTGAAAATATCCTTTTTTTAGTTAAAAAGTAAGATAGGTAAAAATTTAATCAGTGCAGTCAGAAATGCCACTGGATTCATTCTGAAAAATATATATGAAAAATAAAATGGACGATTGGATAGACTTCTAATGCCCATTAGTAAACATTATCATCACAACAGCTTATAGAATACCAAATTCTGCTGAATACCATGAAAAAGTAAAACTAGGTGTAAGTGAAATTTTGCAGGGCTGCTCAACGTAAGACCTCATCGAGGTTTATCAAATACCTTCTAAATACTTGAAATTGGTACCACCGTTTTGGAGAAATCTTTGACGACGACATCCTTTTTTAAATTTTTTTTTGTCAAACGATTCAAAGTAATGTGAAACGTCAAAAACCAAAAAATTAAGTCCAAAAACATTCACCTTTAAGAAGTTAATAAATTATACAGACCTTTTTAAAAGTATAAGTATATGCAAAAATAGGTCGACAATTTGCAACAGGAAAATATTAGTTATAAAACTATAATCTTATATTATAAATTATTTTAATAATAGTGAATGTCCATACAATTAGTATAATGTGCATAATTTACCTCTTAAATCCTCTTTTATTAATGAACATGAACTAAAGTCCTTACTAATGAAACATTCCAAAAATGACACCAGATTAACAAGCATTTTTGCAGCCTCGCAGAATTTCCAGAAACTCAGAAATAAATATCTGAAAAAATTTACACAATATATAAATATATAACCAATTAAACTGATAATCGTAGTTGAACCTAATATAAAAAATAAATGATTTATGCTTAATTGCATATATATTCAGCAAATTGCATGCAAATTTCTGATCTAGAAATTTTATATCTACATTTTTTCTGTCAAATATATAATGTTTTTTTTTTAAATAAATTAGAAAGTATATATATATATATATATATATATATAATTGCAAATTGCAAATTGAATGCAAATTTCTGATCTAGAAATTTTATATCTACAATTTTTCCGTCAAATATATAATGTTATGTATATATATATATATATATATATATATATATATATATATACATAATTATGCGTTTGTCTACCTGCGTCAAGGATTATCAGTAAATAATAAAATGCATTCTTAACACATGCTTCTTAGAATACAAATGATTATGTACACCTGTGGTATAATTAAATGTAATATTTAGATACATCCATACATACAGATATATATATATATATATATATATATACATAAATGTAAATTAGTTGTATATATGTGTTACTGTTAATTACTAGCAAAATTAGTATTTAGTACTTAGTTGTTTATTGCACTTTCTCAATTCAATTTTTATTTCTCGCCATAACTGTTGAATATATTTAAAATTATTTATATATGTATTTTCTTTTTACCAGGTTGCAATAATGTTTCGAGTGATATTTTCGATTTTCGTGTTTTTTATTCTCCGAGTAAGAACACAAGTACCTTCCTTCGGTGAATGTCCGGACGTACAAGTTGTACAAGATTTTAAAGTGGATGAGGTATTTTTTATTAAATAAAATATAAACATGTATGCAAATTTATTGAAAATTGTATGTCTATTAGTATTTAGGTAAATGGTATGAAATTGAGAAATATTTTGCAATCTTTGAACTTGGTGGAAAGTGTATCAGTGCTGTATATGGCAAACATCCAAATGACACAGATGCAATAACAGTTGTTAACAAGCAAATCAATCAAATGTAATGTATGGTAATTACTAATAATTTTACAATTTAGTCGTATGCAATCTATAAATATTCAATTTTGATCAAATCGATTGTATTTAGTAGTACAGGAAACAGAAAATTAATTCCAACAATAATTGAAGACAGCGAATATTAGTGATTGTTAATTATTTAATACAACTTAATTTTCTGTGTCTTCAAATTATCAATCTAAAATATCTATTTTTTCTTAATTTTCTTAATTTTTCACAGTTTTGTTCAATTCAATATAATTGAGACAAATATCATTTTCATCCAGCAAAATCTCCTCCAACATTTTAAAATTTTATGAACACATTTATATTTGTTTTTGTTCCTTAAAAATGTTTATTTTTATTTTCCAGATTTGGCACCTCTTCCCAAGTAGAAGGTTATGCAAAATTTGAGGATCCGAGCAGCACAGAGGCGAAATTGACGGTGACATTCACTTCTCTTCCAGGTATAAAAAATATGAATCCAATTACTCAAATTTAATTATACAAAAATAAATAATAAGAAATATTATTATTTAAAATAAATTAATTTTTCAGTTAGTAACTCAGGAAAATATTGGGTTTTGGGAACAGATTATGAAAACTATGCCGTGGTTTGGTCTTGTAGCAGTGCAGCTTATTTGAATGGACGTATGTATATAATATTTTTTTCCTTATGTAATTTTGCAAATATTCATAGTTTCGTAATCTTGTAATTTAAAAAAAATGTCTTGATGATGCCACTTGTTCCATAAATAACCCTTTTTTTTATTTTTCTAAAAGTATTATATATCTAGATCATATCTTCATTTAATTAAAATTTCGGAGAATGGAAGTTTCAAGTATTCTTTTTTTTCAGCAAAGAAAAAAAAATACATATCGGCTTTATTTATCTTTTTTTATTATTATCATATTTTCACAGTAATCAGAATTTTAACGTCCTATGAGCTATTGGGCTGAAACTTCTCCTTACTTCGTATTTTTAGGTGGTAACCCAATAGTCAATCCATCCATATTCGATGATTTTATCATTAGAATTTGTCTAATAGGGCTGACTTTTTATTGGTGCTGCAAATTCCGGGTGGGGGCTGTTACTTGGAAACATATAGATTTTTATATTTCCAAGTGAAAATCGTTGTCACTACTGCCTGACCACAGGATGCTCGAAGTGGGTATCGAACCCGCGACCTCTAAATCAATACCCGTTGCTCTTAACCGCTTATCTACGAGCGAGCCCTTATGTATCATATTAGTATTATTAATATTCCGTCTAATAACAATTGCACATACACTTTTCTATCAGCACAACAAAATTCAACTTGTATTTCTTGAAATTCACAATTTGTTACATATTAATTAATAATCACTAACAGTAAAAAATCACAATCCATAAGCACATATTGCAGTTTGACTGCAAATAAAAATATACTGAACAGTAAATATAATAAATTTGGTTTCAATTTATTAAATCTCACAAAATAACGCGCATAGAAAATTATCTGCGATTCATATATATAATATTGATCTTATTAACTTCCCGTAGGGTAAGTTATAGTAATCGCAAAAAAATCGAAAATGAAAATTTTTATATATCTTTACGTTTCAGAGGTTTCTGAACATTTTGGCATACCTTAGAAAAAATGGATGTATGTGTGTGTGTGTGTGTGTGTGTGTGTATGTGTGTGTGTATGTATGTATGTATGTGTGTGTATGTATGTGCGGATACAAATTTTCGTCGACGATTTCGGAAACACGGATCAACCGATTTGAATAATTCAAAAAACATTCGATCCGTATTGATAAGGAGACGTGCTGATTAGTTTTTGGCAAAGGCAGGTCAAGCCGTTCCGAAGATACGGGGCAAAAAGTTCCGAAAACGGTAACTCAGTTTTTAAGAGAACGGAGCGTCCGATTGGAATAATTTAAAAAACATTTTATTTGTATTGACAAGATGAAGAATCGATACAACTTTCATGAAGGTAGGTCCAGCGGTTTCGGAGATATAGAGGAAAAAGTAAAAAAATGAGCCATTTGGCGGTCAAAAATGATCATTAGACATATGCACATCAAATTATCAGATATTTTATAGAAATTTTAACAATAAGTATACAATTTGTTAACATTCCTATGGGTTCCGTACCAATGCTTATGCTTTAGACAGCGACGCGGCGCTTACGCGCTTTATATTTTGTCCCTATGCAGTTAAAGCAGTACGATTGATTGCTTTGAAAAGAAAGTTCAGATCTTCCACAATATGTCAAAATAAAAAAAAAAAATTTTCGAAAAAAAAAAAAATTAAAAAAAAAATTTTTTTTTTAAAAATTTTTTTCAAAAAAAAGTAATTTTTTGTCCAATTTATAGTTTCTCAAAAATCTTATTTTTTCAAAGTAATTTTTTTTTTCAAAAATGTTAATCGTTTTTAAAAAAATAATAATTTTTGGTACGGGAAGTTCCAGCAATTTGCCTTAAGGCACGATGCCTTAATTGCCTTAAGACAGAATTCCACTTACAGCTAGTTTTACTTTTTAGAATTTGCTTGGATATTAGCAAGAGAACGAAAACCATCAGAAGAAATTTTGGAGAAAGCATATGCAGTCATTGAGCAGAACAACCTCAGTAAATTCTATTTAATGAAAACGAATCAGGATGATTGTCCAGAAGAACAATGAAACTGTTAAAAATAATTTAAAGAAAATTATAAAAAATAATATATATTTTTTTTAAAAATATTGACTGAAAAAATTTGTTTTTCAATTTTGGCATGGAATGATTATTATATGTAGATTAATTTGATATAGGATTTATATATATATATATATATATATATATATAATATATATATATATATCCTAGATCTATTGTATGGGCATAAATGTAAATGAAGACAATACTATAAGCTTTGTTTGCGTTATGACTTCATTTCAAAAACAGAAGACTAGAATATTCAATTTCCTGACGCCAACAATAGCTGATGAATTAATCTTATATAAATAATACTATGAAATCATAATATTATGGTATAAGTCGTTTATTCATTGCTGATGTGCAAAATCCCATCGGAATCCAATATAGTAGTGTTATGGTTATATAATTCAATCAAATTAAAAAAAAAATATTTTTGTTAGGCCCTTTGATAATAAAATATTATAAGATCGATCATTGGATCTTATCTTAATTCAACATTTCTTCAGTTATCAATTTTAGTTAATTTATGATTGTTGAATAAAGCTATTACAAAAAAATCAAGTAAGAACAATTACAATTTTCAAATTTTTAGGGCAATATTTATAATACATGTAGATTATTTTTTAAGACGTCAAAGTTATATTACTTGTTGTACAAAAAACTTTGGATATGCATTTGTTAGATTCTTACATATTCATGAACAAATAATTTTACTGCACTAGGCGCACGAAAATATAATTAATTTAAATAAAATTCTTGTATCGTATTAATTAACTTATTTGATTGTAATTTATCATTTGAGAACATGCATTTACTTCAGTCAAAATTTACGTTCATGTATTATTATTTACTATGATTTCCTCCTACTATGATAAATACTTCTCTTATTACTTCTACTGAAGAGGTTAAAAACAACTATCAAGGTGCCAATATAGTTATTGGTATTATATTAAATATTATTGGATTATTATAATAAATCCAATGCGTCATTTTGAAGAGTTGTATAAATTTAGCCATTTATAAAAATTGTGAAGGTTCTGGCAAAACGCTGCTTACCTCTAATTTGTATTATTTTTTTCACTATATTGAGAAACTTCATACATTTAGAAATTAATTAAATATTCCGTTACTGATCTAGAATATCTTCTATAATCTTTTCTTTGCAACTTTATATTTAAATGCATTTTAAACTGAATTATTCTCAACCAGAGGTTGTGCGAGAATAAGAATTTATAAAATGAAATACGTGCATGCAGTTTTGTAGTATTATATAACCCTTACAGTAAATCTGTTGCAAATAATGCAATTACAGAATATTTTTAGGTAAACGCTGGTGTCCTCTATGTATTTATTCCCTATGAAGGAAATCTGTTTCAAAATCCTGCTGGATTCATGCTTATTGTAGACCCAATCTATGCATCAGTGCAGCAGAATTAAAATTGTTGTTAAAATTTTTAATCCAAGAGTTTAATTAAAATTTTAATAAAAATCAACTAAATCAAAATTTAATATTTAAGCAAAACGCAAAGCAAAAATATTGACATTTATTTTAAATAGACATTATTTGCAATATATTAGTCTTAATGGTAATAGCATAATTAATTATGATATTTTATTTCATTGGTGTTTAAAATTTCTCATATCTAAAAATTATTGAAGCTTCGTTATTAATTTGCAGGGTTATGGCATAAATATTCTTCTATTCTTATTAAAAACAAAAGCAGAAAGTATATTTTTATACCGTCTTCGTTATATACAATCGAATAAAGATGAAATTTAGTAGTTTCTCAATATTAAAAAAAACATTAAGCTTCAAATCAGAATATGGAAGCTGAGCAAAAAAATCCAAGGGATATTTTAAGGTACGCATGGCTAAACATGTAAATTTTGACGTGATTTAATTTATTTGTTTTATTTACAGAATATACATTTGATCATAAATCGTGACAATTACTATAAGTTAATAACTAAACGAAAATGAACCCATTTGTCCAATACAACGACCTTCTTCGTCAAAAGTTGCCAATGTGAGACGCGACAACTTGTTGCTCAAACAAGAAGGCCCTTGAGAACTTTCAGTTCCAGCATCAGTATCTAAAAAAATCCAATATAATATTAATAATACAGCATTTATTAAATTTTCTAACAGTGAAGCCAACCATTATTTTCAAAATTGATTGTCGCTCTATCCGGCTCATCAATGGTTCCATTGGCCCTAGCTTTTTTCATTTCTTCAATAAAAGATGATATTAGAACGTCCATCATAGATGCTTGTCTGTATAAATTCATAGATTTTCATTAGCAAATAAACCGCAAATAAGACTTATTTAAATTAATATACTTTGAAAAAATCTGGAGCACTTTATAAACTCTAGCACCATTTTCAAGAACAGCAAACTGTAAAAATAAACAAGGCAGGCACTCGGGTAGTTCTTCTCGAGACGGTTTGGCAAAGTCCCATGATAATTCAGGATATCTCAAGCCAAGTAACAATGTCTGGAGTAGATAAAAAATTAAAATATTGTTAAGATATGTTTGAGTGCAAGAGTTGATATATTTCTTACACATTCCAAATCATCAATTATATAAATTCCTTGCTGATTGATTGCAACTAATACAGGAATATCTTGATGTGTTATCAAGCTAGTTAGGCCACGAACAGGCTGTTCGACTTGCCCTTGGAAGAATGCAGCTCTGTATAATATAAATAGTAATATTTAACACATTATTCTTCAAACTTTTTTAAATATATTTATATGTACATCAAAAGTAAGTTTTAGAATTATTTACCCATAGAAAGGCAGTGCCCAGCAGAATTCGAGATATTTACGCATCAATTTCCTAGTCGTTGCTGCATTTGGAACACGTTTAAATTGTTCTAAAAGTCTTACCTATGATAATAAATAAAAGTACCATTGCAATATAAATAATTTTATAAAATTCTTTAATTTGCTTAAAGAATTCTTACTTCAGCTGAATGCTTAGAGCTGATGGGTAACCATGCCCAACTTTCACTCTTGCGGACATGGGCTGGTAGAAAACGTCCTTGCTTTTCTCTAAAATGATGATTTAATAATTCAGTATGTTCAAAGTCATAATTCAATCATTGCAGATTTGGACATCTTAAATGTTTTGTCTACTTTATCATAAAATTATTGTTTGAAAGAAAGTCAATGATAAAATTTTATGTCATTTACCGAAAAAACGAAGTCGTGTGAGCTTGTGGGTTATACGGTCCAAGTTCAATCCGAGCTTGAATTCCTCCAAGCATTATACAATGACTTGGTTCACAAGGGTAACGACCACCCAACACATTGTGACGTGCTTCTTCGTATAAAAGTTCTATTATTTTTGGATCCCTTGAAGAAAAGTGCAATAAATAAAAATTTTAATGACTATATTATCTTGTTTATCAACTTACTTAATTTTATCCTCATTTTGTTTGGGGAAGAATACGTTTCTTTGTAAAGAAATGATAGGCTCATCTCTAGCGTGTTGATTTGCAGTACCATGACCAAATCTCTCGAGCAATATTGACCAAGCACGTCTTACTTCAAACGGGCGATGCAAGGGCTTTAGTTGCACTTCTGTGAATTAAACAAATATGAATGAAATTCATAATCCAAATAGCTGGAGTGTATTTATTCACTTTTGGTTAAAAGATTCACATTTTTTAAAAAACGTTCATAACTTTGGACTTTATGCTATTAAGCAAACATTTTGTGAAACTTTCTATTGCTCATGCATTGATTTATTTATCTAGTTTGGAGTTTCCTATTAACACAAAAAAAAAACTAAATATAAAATTGAAAATACTATTAATAAAGTATTTTAAATATCAGACTCATACTCATTAATCTTCAGTAGCTACCACGTTTGTCATGTTTATTATTCTATAAAATTAAAAATATATTTTATAATGTTTATTATTCTATTAAATTAAAACTATATATTTTTTCATATTCTCTTTTGCCCAGGCAAGTAAAAAATAATATTATGTTAATAAAAAAAATATTATAAAAACTAATGATATTTAATACCTTTGTTGATCATAATTTTTCGATAAAAAATTTCATAAAGTTTAGCTTTCAAAAGTTTCAAATGAACATAACTTTTCAATAATTTTTAAATTTACATAAAAAAATTTCAATTTTTACGAAAACGCGCAAATCTATCAAGCATATGAATTAACTTTTGTAATTACTAATTACTCTTCGTTGTCGAAGTTTTGTACTGATTTTAGGTAAACATCAAATTGATAAATTCAAATAATTTTATTAATATTTTAATTTTTATATTATTAATATTACATATTATTATTATTTATATCTTTTATTTATAAGAAGTTAAGGGGGTATTCTAGTGTAGAAATTCAACAAAATCGAATTTTTTTGTATTTCATATTTTCAAAGTTTAACTATCTAAAAATATGGGTACGAAAAGGTTTTTGAAAATTTGGATTATTTTTGGAGGTATAGACATTTTACTGACTCGGTCCCCATATTGGTTTGGCTTCACGCAAAACTTTAAATGCGTTTTTCTCACAATCAGAACAGACTTTTCAGTACTGTTGACACGATTTCTCGAGTTTTAATCGACCGATTAACTTAAAATGTTCAGAGAGTCTTGTTTATATCCCTATCTATAGTCCGAACTAGGATTATTACCAAATTCCAATTTTTCCTATATTTAAAAAATTCTAGAAACTCAAAAAACAGTAAAAAAACACTTTTTTTCAAACAGTCGCCAATTTGTAAAAAAAAATTTTTTTTACTCATCGCTAGTTCGGGCGGTTGCGACATCATTGTAAATTAATAATCTTCTTATTTTTTGCATTTCCGATGGCTAGGAGGGCTGAAATCATGTCAAGACTGAAGTGCCAATTTTTTGACACCACCCACTTCATCAGCTGCCAGTTTTTACAATTTTCAACTTTTTTATTTTTTAATTTTTGCTTGGTATTTTAATAATATTAATAAACAAGTGGTAAAAAAATGGATAGTAAAAATATTCATTGCTTTCTTTTACGACACTTTAAAAATGACCTAAAATTCATCGCTCTACACTAGAATACCCCCTTAACACTTTCGGGACGACACCGATTTCAAAACAATTTACTGAACCGGCTGTAAACTTGATTTCATTGTGTATGTTATGCAATTTGTTTGATAAAAATTTGTGGTCATTGAAGGACATACATTTATAATATTAATTTATTTTTGATCATTTTATAAAGAGTGACGGTCAAAACAATTTCTAAAATGCATAGCTGGTTGATTTTGGCATGTTTTACAATAAAATAATTACTGGTGCTTTTCTGTCAGACAATACAATCCCTTTTATCCTTTCTCTCGCATTTAGAATATGCCACTGATTAGTCAGTATATTTGTTCATTTTTGTGCTGCCATAATGGTTTGTTTTTTCTATTATTTTGTCTAATAATTCATTTGTAAAATATAAAGTAAAATCAATAGTTTGTTGATGTATGTCAAACTCGATTATTGAAGGAGAATGATTCTCCGAGAATCAGCACATTTGCTAATGTCTTTCCGCTCTTCACTTAATTTGTTCAACTTGTTCTTCCTTCTGTTGGTTCACATTCATCAATATCTTCAGTGCGAATAGTAATTTCGTAAAATTTGTCTGTATGAATGTCTATTTGAAACTCATCTTCAATACTGCTTAATTCACAAAATTTACCAGTCGTTTTTTGCCATATTTAAAAGCGCTCGGTCGTTTTAAATATTAAAAAAAAAGACTAGCATAGCAAAGAAAAAGGTTAAAAATACTACTGAAATAACTTAAAATTATTTTCAAAATACAATACTGTTTATCACTGCTATATGTAATTTATTCAACTTTTCGATGCAAACTGAGTCATTGTTTATAAAATAGGCTGTGCCTCACAGAGTATGTTTGTCCATTGAGGTGGACAGACGTCCCCAAAGTGTTAATTTAGAACTATTTATCAGAAATTTTCCACAATATTTACGGTTTACCTAATAACGGACTGGTCATCCACAGGCAGAAAACAGCGGCGGCCAACGCTCTGTTCGCCACGCCTAGATCGTCTGCGTGAAGTGCGGCTGCTGCCATCACCCGCGCTGGACAACTTGCGGTGTCCTCGACTTCCAGTCGAATTGCTACGCGGGACATTAGGTATATGCATGTCGGAATCATAGCCTGAAGAGGCCTTGATGTGTGAACTAAAAAAGTAAAGTAAAGTACATTATTAAACTAATGGCATTGTGCCTTAAGGCAAATTGCTGAAACATTCCGTACTGTTTTATATTAAATGTTTAATACTGATTAATATTAAATGTTTTCAGGGCCGGATTTAGAAATTTGGCGCCCCGGGGCACTGACAAAAATGCCGCCCCATCCCTGAAATTTTACGAACTTTCGAACTTTTTTTTAAAGCAATCGCGCTGCTTCAGCTGCGTAGGGACAAAATATAGAAGCGCGTAAACGCCGCGTCGCAGTCTAACGGATAAACTATGTTACAGAACGCATATAAATGTAAACAAAATTTATACTTATTAACATATTTTTAAAATATCTGATAATTTGATGTGCATATGTTTTGTGATCACTTTTGTCCACCAAATGTTTCTTTCACAATTTTTTTTATTGGATTATCGAAACCGCTAAACCTGCCTCCCACAAATTTAAGCAGTTATTTATTCTGTTAATTTTTTTGAATGATATTGGACGCTTCTTTTCTCAAAAACTGAATTATCATTTTTGGCATTTTGGCCCGTATCTTCAAAACCGTTGGACCTGCCTTGGCCAATAACTAATCAGCACGTCTCCTTATAAATAGGAATTGAATCATTTAAATCGGTTCATCCGTGTTCCCGAAATCGACTTAAATAATTAAAAAATATTAGATTTGTATTGATGGGGAGACGTGCTGATTAGTTTTTGGCAAAGGCAATTACGAAAAATGGTAATTGAGTTTCGATATTTCTTCTCTGAAACAGCTACGCAGCGCGATTGCTTTGCAAAAAGTTGAATAGCTTTTTATAAAATGTAATTTTTAGTGCGGGATGTTTCAATAATTTGTCTTAAGGCACAATGCCATGAGTCACTAGTTTAAATTTTTTTTCGACGCTATAAGCTTGGAAGTGCACAAATTCGTCATTTTAAGAGGGCTCGAGAACTGAAGTAAATATTTTTCTTAAACTTTTAGCTTGTTTACGGATCTTTATATTAGCCAAATTGCCAAATTTAATAACTTATTAACCAATTTGATAATTTACGTTCGGAGAGGGAGGCAAGGCAAAATAATAAATTTTAATAATTGGTTATTTCAACCCAAATCTTGCATTGCAATCGTATTATGTTTTGTTAATTATATTTCTTGAAATATAAAAATGTTGGTAAAAAAATTTGATTATATTGTGTAGAATTTTTTTCTCACTATCCAAATTTTGCCGCCCCCAAAAATTTGCCGCTCTGGGCAGTAGCCCCGATTGCTCCTACTGTAAATCCAGCACTGAATGTTTTCAAATATATTATTATAAATAAATACTGTAGCTTTCTACATTCGTATTTTATAGACAAAATGTAAAAGCATATAAATTGGACGATGATGTTCATATGAGTTTGCATGAAAAGTGAATAATCATTTAATGACGCCCTTCGAAGAGGAGCTAGAATGAAAAATATTGTCTCATAATTCCAAGAATTATATAACCCAAAATCCAAACTAATTTCAATATTCAAAAAAAATATTTTTGTAAATTAAACATTTTTCTTTTGGAATTTTGAAATAATTTTATTCTCTTTGCGTAATAATCGTTTCGTCAACACAAGCAGTAATCTACCATTTTTTACTCATTTAGCTCCGTATTTTTGAAACGGCTGGGCCCGTCTTAGCCAAAAACTAATCATCAATTCTTCCCTTCATTACAAATTGAATGTTTTCTGAATCATTCTAATTGGATGCCCGGTTCTCGCAAAAAGCGAGTTTTCATTTCCTGCACTTTTTGCTTTGCTTTGGCCTACCTTTCCCAAAAACTAATCAGCACTAATCCCCATACCATCAGTAGGAGTCTATTGCTTTTTCAATTATTCAAATCTGTTGAGCGGTACTTTATTTATTTTTTATTTTTTTTGAGGTATGCCAAAATTTTTGAAACTTCTAAAACGTGAAGATATGCAAAAAATTTCATTTTCGATTTTTGGCCTATTACTATAACACCCTACGGAAAGTAAAAAATGAAGGCTTTTCAATCAATTTCATTATTTCGAAATATAGCCAAGGAAAGAGTTAATAATTTAGACGCCAATTTAAGTGGTCAGATAAAAAAAAACTAGTTGGTATTGGTATTTTGCCTTGAGGCAAGTTACATGAACTTCCCGATATTTGTAAATAATCGACTTAATCAATAAAAAATAAATTAACTTATGAGTGATTAAAAGTATTCAGAGCGGATTTATTACACATAATTAAAAACGAGCGGAGACTTAACGTCTCGCACTTCTTTCTAAAAGCTAATTTTCAAAAAACAATAATTTTTTATAATTGAACCAATTTCCATACGACTTTAATGGTTTAGTTTGTACAATAAGACCAAGTACTCTATCGTTATACCAAGTAAATCGTCTGATTTTAACTTTAACAAACGTCAAGAAAAACTACTCATTTTCTCAAACTTTGATGAATTTTTAAAATTAGACTACTTGTCGTAAGACATTAATATTTCAGTAAGTTCTAAAAGACCATGATCGCCAAAGAAAGTTCCATAAAAACGGAATTAAACTTTTTTTTCAACAGTTAATTAACTAATCAGTATCATTCCCAACTAATATCTTTCAAACAGTTTTTGATTTTTTAAAATCGATTTGGTAGTATGAGCTTAAATGTGGACGAAAAGTTTAACACTTTTTTCCAAATTACAAAGAAACGGCTCGGCAGATCGTCGCACGAAACTGACAAATGCTAATTCTCATCGAGATACATCAACTGGCTTTTAAATTTCTAAATTCGGTTCAGGCGTTTTTGAGCAAACGTCGATGAAAGCTCTAATTTTGACAAACGCCAGAAAAACGATGCTAATTTTTGTAAACTTTGACGAATTTTCAAAATTAAACGACTTGTAGTGAGCTGTAATATTTTAGTATGATCTAGAGGATCATGATATCTATCACAAAAAAAATTATGAAAATCGTCGAGATTTTTTTTAACACTTTATTACAAGAAAAGGGCCCGGTCGATCTTCACCAAAAACCAATCAGGTCGATTCCCAACCAATATCTTCCGAACGATTATTGAATCCTCAAAATCGATTCAGAATTGCGGGCTAAAACGTGGACGAAAAATGTTTTACTTTTCTGCTATTTACGAAGAAACGATTAGGTCTATAAATTAGGAATAAATATTTTATAATACTTGCGTTTACCAAATTGGGCCATGTCAGAAATACGTAATATTTGCTTCTGGTCTGATTATTGTACGCAGGCTAGGTGTAGGTGAATGTATTAAATTCTAAAATAATTTATAGCACTTATAAATAATTTACCATGCTTGATATATATATAATACAGATTATTATGTGATTATACATAGTAGAACAAAAACTCACACCAAATACTATTTTTATAAAATGTTTATCGCATTAATTATATTAACTGATATTTTTAACTTTTAGTTACTTTTAAAATCTTGGCTGTTATCTGCACCATATTATAATTTGTTATGATATTTTATTGGTTTTTAATAAAATAGCGTTGCATCCGAAACCTTCCCTATATTTCACTTACACACAAATAAATAAATAAATAAATATATATATATATATATATATATATATATACTACTGTTCATTGTTAGTCGACAAAACACACAAATTATTAAGCCACAAACATAAATAAAAATATAATTAAGAGAAATAATACTTGACAACAACTGCCACGAAGGTTAGATTATTACTGAGTTAGAATTGCATATTTACTTTCGTATTGCGCCCTCTATGACTCTGATCCCAAAACTATTCTGACTCTATAACAATTATTGAATTTTAATATCATCTGGTAACAATTCACGCCGTTTCGACCCTATAAATTGGGACGAAAAACCGAAGTCAAACCATTCAGTTTTTGGAGCTCGTGGGGACAGTTCAATGGTAAGTCTTTTAAAAATATTTATATTGTGTAATAACTTTATATATTTAGTTTTAAATACGTTGCATGTATTTTGTGCTTTGATTGATTCTATTTGCCTTTATTTACTGTTCAATTGTGAATAAAAGTAATTAGGTAAATTGAAGTAAATATTCGTCACTTTTATATTAAACGATTTATATTACTCTTTATACTCTAATATATTTTTGCTGAGGAGTCGCCTTCGTGTTTTTTGTTGCGAATATATTCAATTTTAGCCTTTGAATTAACATAAATAACCCAATACATATTTAGATTGTAATGTATACCTTGTCAGTTTAGAACAGATTTAGTAGTCAACATACATTTTTTTTATAAATCCTATGTTTGAAGTACTTTTCTTTTTAAATTTTTTTGGCGCGACTGAGGCACTTCTACTGTATCTACAATTGACTAGTATTTATTTGTTTAAGTTTATTATTTTATTGTTTTATTTATTTTCTATTTGTTCAACTTGTTTCAGATTTAGTGTGGTATAACCATGGCGGGTGACTGGGGATTCATTGTGCCTTTTTTCACATTTTATTATTATATATACAATATTTAATTAAATCTATTTTTATCATTATGATTTAGTTACTTACTTGCGTCCAACCGTTTTTCTGTTTTGTTTGTGCGGAAAATTGAGTTCGAAACTATTATCGTTAATCATTTATAGTTTTTTTTTAATCGTTTAAAACGAATTTTAAAGCCTAGTTTGCGCGTTTTTAAAACCTGTCGCCCTCCCCCCTCGGCAGGTTCGAGTAGTTCGCGATTAATTATTAAATTAATTTTTGTTGGTCGGTGTGTGGTTGCTTGCAAAGTTTTTCCCAGAAGCGGAGCAACGCCATACGCTTTAATTCATAAATAATACTATATGTACATATTAAGAGTGATGTTAATTTTTTTTTGAATTATTTTATTAATTACCTTACGTTATATGCGCATTCAAACATCTAGTTTGAAATTTTGAAATCCAGCTTGTTTCTCAAATTACTTATATTTATTTTAACGGATTTTTTCTGCTTTTATGTACTATAATTTAATCAAATAAATTTAAAATTCTCGTTATTGCACAATGGGTCTCCCGTGACGGAGAAATGTTGAAGACGCAGTGCTTGAAAAGTATTTGAATTTTTTTAAAAAAAGTATATCGATCAATACCAAGACCAACTACTACAGAAGAAGCACGACCCAGGAGGGACTTGTGATACCAGAGGAATCAACGCCAGGACCAACTACTACAGGAGGAGCACATTCCAGGATAATATGCATTCATATATTAGTTTTTTCGTATTACATATAATTAGTCGTTATCTAGACTTACATTTATATAAGTATATAATTTTTTAATATTAACATTACCGGGGCCCCGTTTATATGCTCATCCCTTTTAGGGAAATTTGTGTTTTTTTTAATCTCGTTTCAGGTGTATTTTCATGAAGATTTCCAGAAGATTTCCTCTTCAAGACAACCAGGAAGCCGCTACCAGATTGGAGATTATGCGCATAAATGAAATCATATGGAGCAAAGATAAAATGTAAGAAAAAACTTTAATTATATTGTATTATTATTATTATTGGATCTTTATAATAGTGTATCGATATTATTGTATTATATTAAACTAATGTTTAGTTAAGGGTCCTTTTGACGTAAAAATTTCGGTCGAATATTTTGTAATTTATTTTCAAATTAATTTAAAATAATAATCAATTTTAATTTCATAATTATCCATCACTTTCCAGAGGCAAACCAGGACCAACAGAAGACTGCTGACGGATCAAGACCAACAGAAGAAAACTACCGAATTGGTGAATATCAAGATGAATATGAAGTGTGAGAAGACTTTAGTTATATTATTCTATTATTATTAAGTAATTACTATTAAGTAGTTATATTATTTATAAGGCGCGTTTTCGGTCGTACGTTTTTTAAAGTTGTTCGCGTATTATTAATTCGCGTTTCCACGTTAATATCTTCAGTCATACTTTTTTTGGGATTGTTCGCGTATTTTTGTTTGAGCTCAAAGGGTGGTGGCGTCGTGGAAGAACCTTTCATTTTTTCCGCGTTTTTCTTTACATCAATTAATTAATAATTGCGAATCACAAAATGATTCGCCCATAAGCTTCATAGGCTGGGAAACTATGAAGTTTTTTTCCAAGTAATTGCATGGTGTATTTGGGGAGTACTTCTGTACTCTGGGGGGTACATCATGTGGATGCTTTTTTTATAATATCACAATCACCGTTACAAAATCACATTACAATTTTCATATTAATATTTCATACAATTTCATATTTATAAAAACTACACACTACACACCGAGAGGTTCTTTCGCTTTTAAAAATCGAAATTTTTGGGTACATTAGGTCATCTCGCGGGGTTCGTTTCGCGTTACATTCGGTACAATTCGTTTATTAGTTAAATATAATTAGTCAATAAGTTAGTTTAGGTGGATTAGGGCTGCAGAAGTCGTTGCATTTCTGTGGCGACACCACATTAAAAAAAACGCGCCTAGCAACTCTACCTCCTGGGTGGCGTGGAAAAGAGTTGCATCTAGCTATAAATACTATTGTCAAAATTAGATATTTAGATAATTATTTTAATTAATATACATAGATGTATCACTATAGGTTGCACGCATTACTGATAATTATAAACTTATATGGAAAAGTCTTACAAATAAAAAAAATCAAATAAATCTTTACTTTTAAATTTGTTACTTTCCAGTTTTTTCTTGCTCAAGCTTATAAGTAAACAATTTTTTTTGAAGTCACTTTTAATTATTAATAATTTTTGCATTTTATACTCTTAAATCAATTAAAAATTATTTAATTTATTAATTCATAGAAAAAGTTCTATTTCAGTTATAACTGTAATTATCAGTATCAAAATATTTAAATCAATATTTTAATTTTTTGTTTAATGTATATTTAATGTATAATGTATATATGAATATATTACAAAATAATATCGAATTGTATAGAATATTAAAAAATACAAATTAATAATAATAATTAATTTGCTTTTTATGTTTTTACATTGATTTTTTTACAGAAATTTGTAAACAAATTTTAGACTTTTTAGCAAGAATAACTGAAAATTATCATTTGAATCGTGCGTTGAAAATATATTTTTGGGTGGTACTGCAATGTGAAGAATTGTATGGTTTTTAGTAGTATTAATATTACTTGTAAGAAAGCAGAAAGTGAACGTTAAATTATTACTTAATCAGCCTGTTTAATAGGTGTGTACCTATTAATATAAAAATACAAATAAAAAAAAACTTATTTCAAAAATAAATGCAACAATAAAAGAATACATTATAATTAATTTATTAATGGGAGAAAGTTGACCAAAAATAAAAAAATATTTTAAAAATGCCATCAACAGGAAGCAAATGTTTTTTGAATTTCAATTTTCAATTTTTTCACGATTTTCACGACAGGAAGCAAATGTTTTTTGAATTTCAATTTTCAATTTTTTACGATTATTATGACTTACCCTACAAGAAGTTGATAATAGAATAAAATTCAACTTAAACATTTTATAATGCCTACAGGCGTATTAAATGTGAATTCCAAAATTTCATAAACATTGCATAAAATATAACATTTTTCATACCACGGGGGGCGCAAAGCTGTTTTAAAAATATTAATTTTAAATGTTGAGTAATTGAAATAGTAATTTTAAATGCTGAGAAACTGCCATCTAGAAAAATTTAGATATGTCCAAATACGAATGGATTAGAAATCTATTTGTCATTGAGAAATATGATGATATGCTGAAAAACAAGCTCAACCGTCGCATTACATTTTTCTAATGTTGTGATAATCATTTTTCTATGATTTGTTTTCACTAAAATTATTTTGTCTTATAATCGATAGTTATGGTTGTATGTATTTTTTTTAATATTGTGTATTATTTGGCATAATATCAGTTAAGTATATTTGAATTAAATTATTAGAAAAATTAGGGAGAGGCCGCAATATTTTTTCTTTCGAAAGGAGGGCGCAAGGAAGAAAAGGTTGGAAACCACTGGTTTAACCCCTTAAGTTAGGATTTTGATACAGTTTTGTTTTTGTGTTCTATAGTTTCGTAAAAATAAATATTTTGTAATAATTGTGCCAAATAATACAAATGTTATAAATGTATAAAAAATATACATGCAAACATAACTATTGATTATAAGAAAAAATTAATTTAAATTTAATAGAAACAAATCATAGAATAATAATTAGCACAACATTAAAAAAATTTAATGCGACGGTTGAGGTTGTTATTTAGTACAAATTTTCTCAAACCACGGCACCATTATAAAAATCGACGTTCTCAGTACCTTTTCTATCACCAAGCGTGATTGGTACTTTGTCTTTAAGACTGCTACTGCAGAAAAACCTGTTTCACACAAGTAAGGTGTCACAAATGATAAAAAATTTCTAAAGCATTATTTGTTAAAGTAGGGAAATCGACCTTTACTCGTAACCAAAACTTAACAATAGTCTTTTCGTCCTGAAACATCTGCTTCATTGTGCTAACACTAGATAAATCAATTATCATTTACTGCTTTGCTGTTGGAAGACCAGAATCATCATATTTCTTAATGATAAATGGATTTCTAATCCATTCGTATTAGGACATATCTAGATTTTTAAAGTAATGCGAAAATTGGTTCCTTAGACTAGTCATATGAATGATATTGACTTATTTACTTCTACTTCGTCAGTAACAATTAAGTAATTTTAAAAGTGGGAAACATGTCAAAGTTATTAGTTTTCATACTAGCTATCCACAGTTCTAATTTTTTCATAAAAACCTTAATCTTGTCTTCCTGAACAAAAGCATGAATTTGAAATACTTGAATTGATTTATTTAAATCGCTTAGTCTTTGAAAAATATCAACTAAATACGCAAATTTTGCGAGAACCTTCGTGCATTAAAACAAGTCTGCTCCACTCTTTTGTTATCAGCAAGAAATACGTCAATTTTTTTGAGCTCAAACAATCTTAACTAATGTGCTTCACAATAATAAAGTAGTACATTTTGAATTACATTTGTCCTGACAAAATTGCAGCAAAAATTGTGGATTACTTGCATGTATTTTGCTTATTTATTTTTGACACTTAAACAGCATTTAAAAATAATATTTTTTGACGCGCCCCACAGTTTGGAAAGCACTGGGTTACCATATTGATAATTTTCAAACAGCTCGCCTCAAGCGAGACTTGTAAGTGTGTGCATAGCGTCGGTGGTGTAATGGTCAGCATAGTTGCCTTCCAAGCAGTTGATCCGGGTTCGATTCCCGGCCGACGCAGAATTTTTTTTATTATTTTTTAATAAATTGATGTGCAATTATAAACTAACGTATTTTACTTACTAAAAAATTGAATATGTAATAAACTTTTTAATTAATACCTGTGCTTCCTGTAACTGCATGTGACTGAGGTACTTGTATAGGTGTAGGTTCCGAGGACGACGAACTTCCACCGGCGGAAGCTTGTGAAATGCAACTAGCATTGGACCCTAAACAGATACAATACTATTAATAACAATTAAAAATATTATCCAATCTTCTAATATAATAGTGAAAGATACGATCTTATATATAAAAATGAATCGCAAAATGTGTTGGTAACCGCATAACTCAACAACGCCTGGACCGATTTGGCCAATTCTTTTTTTAGAAAGTTCGTTGAAGTCCAAGGATAGTTCTTACGGAGAGAAAAAATCGAATAATTGCCGGGAATACTCTAAAAACAATCCTTTTCTTTATCTCATACAAACGTTTTCTAACTAAAACGTAGAATCAATTTGAGCTTTATTGCTATTATATAAAGTTCATATTAAATTACGTGCACTCACTGTATACTACGATTATTCGGATTTTGATAAATCTTTGTGAAGTTTGTTAAGAAAATTTTCTAGGATGTATGTGATTATAAAGAACTGGAATGTATGTGCAATATTGTAGAAATAAATGAAAAAAATTGCGAAAATCGACATGTCATTGTTTGCATTGAAAATAAATGAAAACTATCATCTGCCAAAAATTTCAATTTACTTATGAACCTAGACTATATGAGTATATGTATAAAAAATTTATGATTATGAATAAGAAAAATGAAATGTCTACATAAAAAGCAGCTGAGATGTGTCAGAAATTAAAATAATATAAAATACAGTATATGTATGGCAGATTGAATGATACACATCTGAACAGGATATGACAAACTAATTCACTCAAAATATGAAATCAAATATTAATCAGGGCCGGACCTACCTTTAATGCGATGCACGCGAAAAATACGAGTGCACGCCAACACAAGATTCGAATATTAAACTTTCAATATATTTTATTCTCAATATATAATTTCTTTGCAATTTTTACTAATCTTTTCATAATATTTTTAAAATACGTAAAAAATTCACTTTATAACAACAAATGGGAAAGTAAAGATGAATGCCTACAATTCGGCCCTCACGATATCGCTTAGGAAAAGTTTAAGATGCAATATTAGATATCTTAAATTAAAAAAAATTAAATTAATTTAATTCAACATAAAGTACCAGTGTTATATTATGGTTATGGTTACATTATACCGTTTAAAAGACTTCAATTTCCAATATAGTGTGGGCATTGAGACTCATCATTTTATTTAAAGCAGTTCTACATTTAACATCGCTCATATTATAAATGTATATGCATTTTGGCGTGAAGAGTAATTAATAAGTATTTTTATTTCTGAAACAACAAAAATATACTATTTCCCAGTTATTGTCTATTGCAAATTATAAATTGATTGACCGTCCATTCCCATTCAAGCTATATGTTGCAGAATGGAGGTCAATATTGTATAGGATTTCCAATGGTCAAAATAAAAATAAAAGCCGAACTGACCAAACAATGCTAGCAAAGAAACATTTGCATGCTATAAAAAGCTTTGCATGAAATGTTTTGTTTTTGTGGTCTGTTCAATATTTATGATGGTCATTTTTAGAGTATATAAAGAATAAATGGTTTTACTATATAACACTAAAATATTTCATTTTACTTCTATGCATAGAAATATGTATACATATGAGAGGGTTTCAATGTACAAAAATCAATTGTTTACCAATATGTTGAATAATTATTAGCAACTGATATAATAAAATTCTGTGTATTGCATTTATTCTTTTTATCAGTTTTTAAAAATACGTTAAAACGATAATCTTAAAAGTAAACAATAATTGAAATTTTGAAAATATTCAAGGGTTTATAATAATTCTATAACTGTATCGTTTGATTTACTAATGAATGATTTCCTAATAAATAGTAAACGTGATACGAAAAATAATATAAACTAAATAATATGAATATAAATACGAGCTAGTGGGGCGCATGGCATCGTGCTTTAAGGCAAATTGCTAGAACTTCCGTACCGAAAATTATTTTTTTTAAAAAGATTAACATTTTTGTAAAAAATACTCAGAAAAAAATCGATTTTTAAGAAACTACAAATTTTTGACAAAAATTACTTTTTTTGAAAAAAAGAAGACTTTTTGAAGAAAAATTTATTTTGACATATACACATACATCCATTTTTTAAGGTATGCCAAAAAATTCAGAAACCCCTGAAACGTAAAGATATATAAAAATTTTCATTTTCGATTTTTTTGCGATTACTATAACTTGCCCTACGGGAAGTTAAAGATCACAGAAATTGATCTGTGAATGAAATCTAATTAAAGCATAAATGAATGAAAATCAAATGCACTCAATTAATTAAATTTATTAGATAATATAGTGCTGCTATAGCTCAATTTTTTTTATAAGAATGTATTTGAAAAGAAAACGTTAGGGCAGACTTTATTCTGACTTTTGAATACGTTTATTAATAAATATGTAATCTAAATTTAGGCTGTATGTTTTTCAAATAATTCTAATAATAAAAATATAATAATAATGGAAAAACCAACTGTTGGGTAGTTTTTTAAAAGATAATTGAAGAAGGTATTGCATTAACGTTCTTAAGAAGTATCATCACAAGAGCTCCTAAGTTCTGACTGCTGTTCAGAAAAAACTCAGAAAACTCAGTTTTTAATATAATAAAATAATACCAAATGAAGAAATATTTACGTCTAAATCTAGCAAGGAAGAATTATAGATATAGTTAAATTTAGTTGAGAGAGATTTTCGAAAACGCATAATTTGTGATAATACAATCTACAATCGTTACAAAATTAAGAATCAATTATTATGTATAACATATTATTACCTGGTGATTTCTGTTCCCCAACTTTAGCAGTGTTCTCTGTGGCCTGGTTAGTTTCTTGAACTGCATTTTCAGCTTGGTTTACATTCCTGGTCGTTTCTTTATCTTTTTCTGTTTTTGATTGAGTTGCATAGTTCTGCAGTAAACATTGTTCCAATTACATTTAATTTAATGCTATTTATTTATTTATTAGAAAACCAATATTTACCTGTGTAGATCTTTGGGAGTAAATCGAACTACAATGATCGGAATCTTGCAGGGATTGCGAACCATGATTTGCTAATGAATAAAAATCGTTGCGGTCGCTGGAAATTTATAAATAATTAATTTATAAGTTTTGTTTTCAACTGAAAACATAGAATTTTATAATACACAACAGAAAAATAGTATATTATTTACTTAGGTTTTTACTATTATTTGTAAAATTGATCTAGTAAATATTCACCAATATTTTATATCTTGTTTATAAAACAGTTTTTGTTTCATGTTGTTATTGAAAATTCGTTGGCATGAGTGCAAAAACAGTCAAATATCATAAATCCAGAATTTTAAGAGTGGATTGTTTTATATAAAATAACTTCAGTAATTGTTGTTTTGTAAACATATCTTATTAAGAAAAGCGTATTCAAATTATGAGGTACTATTTTACTAGCTGCAAATATATTAGAATTAGCATTCAAAACTAGCACCCTAAAAAAAAATATTTTTTAAAACATAAAAATATATAAAATTGATAATAAATTTAATTAATTTCAATATATACTTAAGTTTATGAGAGAAATTCTTGAAAAATGCATCTGCAATAAAAGTAATACCAATAATAATATTACAATAATATTACCATTTTTTAATGTTTTGAATATTACAATTATTTATTTATAATTATAGGGTAGGGCTAGGCAGGAATGTCCAATTTGAATTTGAGCAATTATATTGTAGAAAACCTAAACAATTATATAATAACAAAAAACAGATATCAAACAAAAAACTTTATGACTATGTTCAGTAAAAATTCCAGCATTCATCATTATAGAAAAGTATTTTTTTGCTGGTTTTTAATATTTGTAACCTGGTGCTTTTTATCCAATAGGCGGGAAAGGAAAACAGGTCTAAGTTTTAATTTAATTTTAAAGGGTTATTACAAAATAATAGGTGCCAAATGCAAAATATAAATTTTATGCGGACATTTTTTACAGAGATAACACTGTAATTAACCTTGATCTGGAATTTTATCAGAAATATTCGTCAGCAGAGTTTCAATAACTATTTAATTAATTTTTCTTTTGTAAAATTGCTTAATTTAACTTAATTTATAGTTTTATTTGCTATTCGTCATTTCATCTTTGCCAGGGTGAAGGTTTAGTTGATCCCTTTTACCCCATCCCAGGTGTAAGTTTTTACAAAGGATATATGAAAAAATGGTTGAATCTAAATCAAAATTTAACAACACGTCTTATAAATCAATTAAGTAACGCAGACATAAATTTTATATTAAGGTCTGGAAAATTAGGCAACAGTGTTCACACTCAAAACAAATAACAATGCAAGAAAATACTTTTGTTATGGATTTTTAAACATTTCCGTTTTTCTCCCATAGCAACGTTATAAGAAACAAGGTGGTGTCTGGTTTTACATTTTTTTCCTATACTTTTAAATATTGTTGTTAAATTTTTTTTAACTTAGCTAGTTTTTGTGATATCTTTGGTGAACCTTCTACCCTATTACTCCAGTCAATGAGCGTTTTGGGTCTGAATTTTTTTACTGTGCTCCGATTTGCATGAAATTTTGGAAATAGGCTAATTTTACCCTTAGCGGTGTATTTTTATATTTTCAAAATAACGTCGGTTACCTCTAGAAGACTTATATATATAAAATATGAATACTGTTTTCATAATCTCTCATACCAGGCACCTCTCTCTGTCTGAGATATGAAAATAATGTATATATAAATATATATAAATAAATAAATAAAATATGAAAAAAAAATCATAACCATAACGTAATGATTATTAAAAAACTAAAATGTGTTCTTTGTAAATAAATCAATGTGTAAATATATTCATATTATATTCTAATGTTCAGGGTGTAGTTCTCATCAAGAACCAATGGTGTTTTAAATAAAGGAGCAATTTTCAAGAAAATTTGGATGACAGTTAAGTTTATCTGAAAGTTGTGTTTATTTGAATATTTATGAACATTTATGAACTTATAAATTAATATTTTTATAAGAATCACTTATGTTTTCTTACCTGAAGTCATTGTTTATTGAAAAGCTTCTCCTTTGAAACTCATTGTTACTTTTATAATTATTATTATCACTCTGACAATTATTGTCAGTCGATTCCATTTTAACAATATTTTTATAATATAAATTCACAACATATTCACTTGCACATGCTACAATTGCAATAAAACTAGCACAATATGCTAATTAAGACACATTGTTCTTGAGCATAACATCATCACGAATGCATTAATTAACAGTTAGAAATTAAATTAGAGAATAAGTAATTTTATCTATCACTACTATAAAATTATAAAACTAGTAAGAAGTTTAGGAAAACCTGTTTGACTTAGGGTGTAAATTGTCTACCCAAAGCGATCAATACTGAGCAAGAAAATGGTTGTAACACAAACTAATGCGAAAGATTTAAAACATGACTAATTTATAAACATTGAAATTCTAATACCACGACATTGTTATTAATTTAAATAAATAATGTTTAGTATGTTTATTTAAAACTATTTAAAACATTTAAATTTATTTGTGTACAGTCCGCACTTTATTTTGACAACTGAAATATGAATTGGTCAGGGCCACCAACATTGTTAATATAATGAATCGTTTTTAACATATTATTAAATTCTATAAGAAAAGATAAATTATCCTAAAATTTAATTATTTAATTGATTGTTCATTTTAGAAATAAATTAAGATTATAAATTTTAAATTAATTCTTAAAAATATAAACTTTCTCCATCTTGTTAGGTTGCAAACTTGCACCAACTTTGCATCATTTCCGCGTTGTTCAATCCGTTTCCATAAATTTTACTAAAATATTCATTATTACTGTCAAAGTTTTTTTTATTGGAATATTTGATTAGTTTTTAAAGTTTATATACTTTTATATTAAATAAGATCAAAATTGTAGTTTAAAATATTTATGGTTTACGTAAAATGTGTGGGTGACAATCAGATTAAATGTTAATTTAATTACCATAATTTAATATTTAATACATAAATCTAAAGTGCCACTTTACTCTTTTGGCTTGAGTAAAGTAACATTTTTTAGACGTTTTAAATACCAAGTTTTCAAAATTCAATATAATTATAACTCCATCTCTTAAGAGAAGTTAAAAACAAGCGCTGGCAGCCTTAACCTGTTCTGTGCCATGTAGCACCAACAAACTTTTCAAAATCTACACGTCATTATGAAATTTTCAAATTAAAAAGTGTTCATTAATAATTATAGTGTATTATATAAATATTAGTTCTAATCTATTGTTATTAAAATGGTTCTCTTAGGCAATGATGAAGTAAGTGTCTTAAAAATATCACCTACTCCTTATTCAATATGTCAATTAATTAAATTGGTTTCATTTCAGTTTTTATCAAAACTTACAAAAATGTTTCAAAATGCCAGAAGTTCTTCATCGGTTACCTTAACTATGAAACGATGTAAGTTGGTTTTGAGTGATTTTTTTATTTATCATTTTTAAATGTTATTTTGCTCATATCATAACCTCAATTTCAGATGATGGAAGAACTACACCTTACCCTAGAGAAGGCAGGCCCCCTTTGCCCAAACCAGATGAGCATTTATGTCTGTTAAGAGCCGTACACAAATCAAAAAAGGTATATTTTATAATTGCTTTTTTGCAACTTACATATACTTTCAATTTGGCATTTTCTGCATGTCTTACTATGCTCGGTACAACAAAATCAAAACAACATTAATTGTGATGAATGATCACAAGTAAGTTTTGGGCAGTTTTAATTGTTATGTTTTTTTTGACAAGTTGTTCTAGATATGGTTTAATATTTGAAAATTTTATATTTTACGTTATAAAATATATATTGTTAACTAATTGAGGATATCCATTGACTTACGAAAATTTAATTTATTTTTAATTGGTACTTTTAATAGTATTTTTGAATACTCCAGATAATTCCTAGTCTAAAATCTTTATTTATTTTATTAATGGAAAATAATCCATATTCAAGGAAACTTCTTGAAATTTGCTTGGTGTTTGTTTTGGTCTAATCTGATTTATTACGTTATTGTAGTTTTCTTCAACATTTTTGATTGCTTTTGTTTCGTTTTGCTGCTGCAAATATTAGCTTTTATTTATCTGAGATATGTACACATTTAAGTACTATTTTATGAATTTATTATTATGTGGTCATTCAAATGAGAAAAATTGAGAAAAGGGTTTGGTTTAGTTCTAAGGCTTATACTTCAAAGTGTTTTAAGAACAACATTTTTCAAGAAAATAATGGAAACAATTGCTAAGTTATGTCCAATATTTTGGATAATCCTTCTAAAGGACTCTCCTCCTTTGCAGATTTCGACTGTAATTAAATCGAAAGACGCAGTGAGGTTTCACATAGCATATTGCAGTTTATTAAAAGGTAATATGGATGGTTTGAAAAAGATGAAAAAAGTCAAACCAAAAGTGAAAGCGACATAGACCTATTTATTTAATGGTGGTGTTTGTAAAGTGAGCAAGAAGATTTTCTTTCTTAAATTTTATAATGTGATGCGAGATGAATGTCTGTGTCAGAAGCCTTATTCATTTTTCGATTCATGTCAACTTAATTCGCTTAAGTTATTAAACCCTTTATATAAATATACATTGAATTATTGTATTGTAATATTTTTTGTAATATAGAATATGTTATAATTTTATTATGTGATTTCTGGACTGGGACTTCATAATTTACCTATGCATTATTGATCTGAACTATGAGTTACTAAGCAGTATTGATTTTCAAAATCTCTCATTCCTTAAGGATTATCCAAATAGAACTGAGACATGCTCGTTTTTTTATACACAAAGTATTAATCGTGAAACACTTAAGAGTAGGATGCTGGATAATTATTTTCAGGATAGATGTAGTATTTTGGAATCAGAATTTATTGTTCATAATAAAATATCATGAAATTTTGATAATTATATCAATGAAGTAACAAATGACTGCCGCAACACTCAAATAAGATATTTATTTAAATAAATGTATATATTGTAATGATCTTTTTATGAGCGAGTTTGATTTACAGTCTGCTACTGTATTTAGAGATATTTGCTTTTTGTTTACATCTTAACTACAAAAACAAATATTTACTATTTGTGTTGAAGAACTCAGCACAAAATTTATTGGTGAATGTTATAAATATAATTGGAATGTTGTTGTTGGATTTAATAAAAGTGCCTAATTTTCAAATGGTGCAAACTTTGAAAGCAGTTTACTTATTGCTATCAGCACATGCTGAAGCATGCTCTTCTGCAACGTTTAAATTAAGAAAAATCATGTTTGTAATGATTCATGAAGCATCTAAAATATAATTGAGCTTTAGTTAGTTGTTTTAATCGGAATCGAAATATGAGCCGCTGAACTGAAATATGACAAGAAATTTTACAGAATGATTTAATAAGTACCTTATAGAAATATGTATTTATTAAATTTTATTGTGGATGGAATTGATATTTGTGTATCGAATATGTGAGCTGTATAATCATTTCAGGAAAGTGTGTTCATTAGCTAGGTTATATGTTGCAGACAGAATAATTTTCTATACATTTGTATTTTCTAATTTTATTTGAATACACGTCTTTGGACTTTGCGAGGATTAGTGATTCTTGCAAGCACTGGGTTCCAAATTTGAACCCACCATGGCCAGCCTGAAATCAAGTAGCGTTGATATTGGTTTTCTTCAGTATTAATTGGTGAATCAGTATTAGAGATTTCTCTTTATACTTATTATACTTATTAAATATAGATAATAAAAAGGCCAACTTTGGATTGCCGTCTAAGAAAGCGATGTTGGTAAGGAGATTTATCACAATAATAGATCAATGATGTGTGGAGTTCTGATTGTTAGATTGCTGTTCAATAATAAGAAATAACTCATCTTTAGATAAAATTAAAATATTAGAATATCAGACAAAATATAAATATAGATGAAAAAAAAATAAGTATACATTATATTGGATGAAAGTTTATTGCATAGGCTTAAATATAAATGCATTTCTAATTTATTCTATGAAGAAATTATGTTATTGAAAATGCATGTTTGCGAGTAAAATATATGGAGCTATGATTAAGATCCTTGACCTCGACTTGGAAACTTATAAAGATCAACAATTTTATAAGGACGCAGTCCGTAGAAAGTTAGACGTATAAAGGATAAAAGTTTATTATAGAGGCTTAGAAATAAATAATAAATGAATATTTATATAATAATTTCTAATTTATTCTACTTTATTTCATGAAGAGACGATGTTACCAGAAATGAGGATTGAATTTAAAATGTAATAAAATATCTTGGGACCTTTGACATTCATAAGTTGAGGATGTTAATTGCCACTATAAGGACGCAGTCTAAAATAATTTCTTATAATAATGTAAAAGAAAGATAGTTTTCTTGTCTTAGAATTCAAATTTCTTTTTACTATTAGGAATATTACAAGTTTTTTACAAGCTATATTAGTTTGTACATAGTTTTCTTTTGTAATAACCAGATGGATGAGCTCTAACTACTTTTTAAGGACTAGATTTCGTTACTTTCAATATGCCTGAAAGGTTGCTTTGTGCTACTGCATTGCGCAAAACTATTTTATTTAAAAGAACGGTATTTTGTTCTCAAACCAGAACCTGGTACATTTCTACGGTGTCAATTATTCTGATATACAACTTGGCTATTTTCAAACATTACTACCTTCCACAGATGCCTCTACCGATTCTCTATTAAATTTCACAGCGCATGTGTTCCATACTGGCGCAAACTTTCCCCAACAAAGTATATTCCCCACGGGGTAGAAATTCGTAAGCCGTAGAGCGCGAATGTCCTCCTGACATACTTTCATTCATATTTCCACCACGCCGTGCATTGTTCTAGGTTAAGTGTTGGCGGTTATTCGAATAATATGTGATATTTGAATTATTAATAAGAAACAATTGTAAATAATGTTGGAAAATATGAATATATTGTTATTTTGAATATGGATCGGTTTTATCGTCGTATTATCAATTTAGTTGCCGCACCACTGTGATGTTCCGTAAAGATGAAGATGGAAGAAGCACGTGGGCCCGCCACTGAAACTAATGAGGTTGAAGTGCAGATTGTTGATCACGGCAGTAGACAGGTAGATTGTATAAATATAGTGTGTTTGTACATGTTTTATTTAAATACAATATCTACATTGTATTCATAATCATAAGAATCGCTTATCTGTCAACTAAACTTGGAAGAAATTTCTGTTGTGATGGAAACAAATGCGAATTGCATGTTTTTTTGGAACACTCAGTAATTAAATTTATTCTTAACTCAGTAAGTAAATTCATTCTTAACTTTATAAACGTACATATATGTTGCTGTGAGAATTAAGAATATTTTACATTTGCTTCGGGATTTTGTTTCTTTGCATACTCATTTATTGTTTTCTTGTTTGATTTGTGCAACATGATTCATATTGCTATATGCCTCAATTATTGATCTTGCACGATGTGTAGTAATTAATAATTTTACTGAGTGATTTGATCTATATATTTTTTATAACAATTGCTAACAAAATTTTTTTCTTGGTTGGTAATACCTTTTTTCTTTCCGAAGAAATATGTAATTTCTGGTTCTAATTTTATGTTTTTTTCGTTGTTCCAAGTAATTCTGAATCCATTGATACGATTCTTTGAAATTTTTCCCTAAATTAGTTGCACCGTCCCCAATTATTCAGTTTGATAAAACCTCAATATTGACTGGCACTCCGAAAAAAACTTTAACCTTATCTTTCAAAAAAAAAAAAAGTTTTTGCCAGAATGTTCTATTTCGTAGCCTTATGTTATCTGTAACACTGTTTTATTGTAACTAACTAACTAGTTAAATGCAAATTTGTTTTCAATGTTTTTGCAAAATATTTTGAACCGATTTTGAAAAATCATAACCAAATATTATTAGAATGCTAATGTTCGACGAGTTGAGTTATTTTTAACATGTTGTTCGAGTTTTAGATGTTTATCGGTCAAATCGTTTTTTTCAAATAATTTTAAAAATTTCAACAAATCCCAGTAGTTACTCGTTACCTTTCTGCAAAAAAGTTTTTGCCAGAATATCCTATTTGCTCTTTTTCTCGATGTTTCGAGTTGTTATAAATCGTTTGACAGCAAATATTGGAAAAAGTATTTTTTTGAGTCTGAAATAGATCTTTTTATGTTTTGATGTTTTTTCAAAAATGTCTGCACTGATTTCAAAAATTTGAACTCGATAATATCTCTAATTTTTTAGTTTTGCGCGGCAATCGGCCAAACCATTTCTTTTGGCACAAGATTGCCACAATTTTTATCAACACGCTAGTCAATAACCCTGAATCGATTTTAATAATTCAGCAACTCTTTGAATGATTTTAGTTGGAACTCGATTAGTTTTTGTCAAAAAAATCGACCATGCCATTTTTTTTGTAAATGATGATTTTTTTATGAAACTTTTTTAGACGATACAGTTCGTGGTCTTAACGAATGTTCTAAAATATTAAGAGCCTACGAAACGTGGTTTAAGTATACAACATTATTATTGTTTGAAATAATTGTGTGTGTTCAGATTTCCAAGTTTTATCGTCACACAAATTAGGAATTTGCTATATCTCACTTTTCATTCAGTTGTTCGATTATTTCCACATATGGAAAAGTTTATGCAACTTGCCCTAAGGCAAATGCTACATACACCTACCTGATTCATTCGCCAACGTATAATCAGTCGTTGAACTCTACTATTCGCATGATCATAGAGCAAAAACTTTTACAAACATACAATATATTGCTAGCATGTCTTTTACTGTGGTTATTGACTTATGCTTATTAGGTATTTATATGCGACCTATTTATATAATACTTAATTTAAATGTATTTCAGTCGCATGTGCAACATACATGAAACTCACATTAATGCTCGGATTCATTTTCCCGCTTATTAAAATTAAATTTTCGTAAGCGACTACGTGAGAGCAATTTCTAAAAAAGCTGACTTGTTAAAATTCGTTGAACGTAGATAGTGTGTAAAATTTCAGAGAGATTCATAAAATATTCAGATACGTAATCTACTATTAATATATTCAATTTAAAATTCAATGACGAACAAGAATTTCAATTTGATTTCTAAAGTTTTGTTGTGACTAATTTTTGTTTTGAAATTACTGAATAGAATTCACTATAGGGTACCATATTGATTTTTCAATTAGGGTTACGTACCAATGTCAAATTACTCTAATACTAGTGTGATGCAACAATTTCAGGTGAACTTTATGTGCGTTATATTTTTTGGCTCATAATTCTTTGAGAATTTCATCTTCATTATCAATAGTTACAGTACATTGTCTTTTTTTGTAGAGCTTTTTGAGATCTTTGAATTATTGATTCGTATATGATTAAATTCTTTAATACAACCCTTAATTGGATAAGGGTAAAAATGGCGTAGAAATTTATTATGATGTAGATTTTTATGACAATGATAATTTAGAAATAGTTGAACAAGAATATTAAAATATATATTCTATTGTGTAGAGCTTTCTGAGATCACTCTTTTCTTGCCTGAAATTTACCCTAACCGATGCTTTTTTATTTTTTTTTTGTACTTTTAACC